TGTTCTAATGATATTTTAATGTTTGTCAAGAAGGATTTCATAACCAGTAAGTCTTTGGTGCTTTTTATTTATCATTCAGAACATAGATAATATTTTAACTTCAACACTTTAAACTGTAGTGTGGATTTCAATCCATGAAATAAACTGACAAGTTTTCAAAATACTTATTAAATTTCACTGTAGAATCTTAAAATGTAAATTTTTATTTAAATATAAGTTAAAAGGTCATCTGAAGTCTCAGATAAAAATCTATCATGCTTTGAAGTCTTCCATTTTAATTGAAACAATTCCATTACATAATTATGAAGTACAATGCAAGATATAGTCAGGAAAGTGTTTTGATCTCCAGTTCTTACTGTGAGTGGATCTGTTGCAATTTTTCTTGAGGCAAACATGATAAAACTTCTAATCATGATTCCTGAGGAGATAGAAAATCATACAACTATTACCAGAATTTATGCAAAATGTTTCTTAGAAGATGTGGGTGTTGGTGGGGTTTTTTTACATTTTATGATTTTAAGTCAGCCAAATTAAAACAGCAGATTGATGGGATAAAATGTAAAGAATGGGGAGTTATAACAAACTTCCCCTGAAAGAGCCTAACCTTGTACATAGTTTTGCTTTTGTTTTTTAATTACGAAGAATTCAACTGTTTTTGTCCTGCTACCCAATGCAAATCATCAGAGGGCCTTGAGAATCCTCCAGTTGGAATTCAAGTTAGAATCAAAGAAGATGTGGGGAGGCCACAGTCAACCTTTGAGCTACCCTTAAGGGAAGAGATTCATTGGCCAAACATTACCTGTCCAGGCATATTCATACTCATGGCCGCACAGTAATGAGAATGAATGGTCTCCAGTTTAAGGCAACAATATGGATGAATCTCATAAATGTAATGTGAGACAGAAATGGTTCTACTTATATAGACTTCAAAAGCAGATAAAACTGATCTACAGTGTTAACAGTCAGGATATTAGTTACCCTGGGAAGAATTCGACTGGAAAAGATTATGAGGAGGGCTTCTGGAAGCTTGTAATGCTCTCTTTCTTCATCTGGGCATTTGTACTTTGGTATATTTACTTCCTTAAGTTCATCAAGCTATGCATTGATCATTGTGTCCTTATCTCTCTATATATTACACATTGAAAAAATTTATTAATGAAATAGGCATCAACTGTACTATTTTCCAGTAATTTACTCCCGTCTCAAGAGCTCCTAATCTTGGGGAAAGAATGCCCTGAACTATGGCCTCCAAAAATGTGGCTAAATGGTAGGTATGAAAAACTTGGATAACAGTATATTAAAATATAAGTTTCACTGGGAGAACCAAATACAAGAAAATATGATATTCTAAAACCAGATCACCATATGCAGAATTTACCAAGAAAATGCTGAGAACCACTTCCATAATTCTTGGATCCCACAGAATTTTTCAAGAGATCTTGTTGGAGAGGATTTTGCTAAAGAGAGTTCCCATTTCTGCCTATGGTTGTGGGGAAGGGGGGTAAATGAGGAAGGGCTGCCTCTTCCTTCCAAGGCTTCTAAGACACCTTTCAGAGAGTTTGAAAGGACAATTTTCCTGCAGCTGGGAGTCACAAGGATGACTCCAGACCAAGGATATTCAAGCAGCCTAGGGCACCAAGGTAGAGGTTGTGTTGGAATCAGCCAGGATTATCAGGCCAAGGAATTTCTGGGCATTTTTAACGGATCATATGTGGGCCACATGGGAGACATCCAGACAAGTGTCATTTGAAGTCCTGTCCAGCAGGGTCACTTAGAGAGCAGAGGACCCTAGCTAGCAGCAGGAAACTGGAGAGAAGCTACAAATGAATCACAAGTGAATAATAGGAATATAGATGAACGGACCAGGTGAAATGACCTATAGAAGAGAAGTCTCCAGGAAACAATCTTCCAAAGGACCCAAGAAAAGAGTCATCTTTGATTATCTGCTGCAGGCACAGAAAGTGGGAAGCCAGCTTACAACAGTGTCGGTTCTATGAATGCTTCCTCATACCTTACCATTCCTCCAACCCGAGAGGTCAGAAACTGGCTGGCCAGCTGGGGGGAAGGGGGGAAAGAAAGGAGAAGTGGCACAAAGTGGAGAGGAGAAACCAACCACGCATCCTTCCCCTTCTTGGCCTCTGCAGGCTGCCAGCCTGAGGCACACCCCAGCCAGGGGAAGATGTGCTATTCAAGATAAGATGGAGCTTTGATAAATATCTTTGGGCTAGACATTCTGGTCACAGGCTTGAAATTATATTTGCAACTAAGGGCTGTTACCTAAGAGTAAGAGAAAAGTGATGGCACCTGTGCACGGTTCCATACAGGACTGGCGAGAATTATCCTCACTGAATGTGCACAAAATTTCTAAAGACTCCATAAACCTGCCTAGTTCTGTCTTCTAGTTGGCTCAAGGTATTTAGGGAGATTAGTTGTTTAAAGAGAGATACCCCACACTGGCAACAAATTACTTGAAGGGTGAATGCAAGTCAATAAGAAAAACTCCAAGGCTTTAATAGACAAGTGGGACGAGATATAAGTAGACACAAAAGAAAAGTGCAACTATATAGTGAATTTTCATGGAAAAATATTCAACTCATCTAACGAATAAACTTAAAATTTTTATTTTAGCCTAGTAAACTTTCAGTGTGTGTTTCCTAAGAATAAGGTTATTATCTTATCAAATTTAGGAAGTGTAACTTTGATACAATAAGATGCAGATTTTTGCCATTTGCCTCAGTAATATTCTTTGTAATATTTTTTTTCCTGATCCAGAATTCACTACAGCATCCATCATTGCCTTTACTTGTCCTGTCTCTTTTAGCTTCTTTTAATCTGTACCAGTTCTTCAGCCTTTCTTTTTCTTTCTTGACATTAACATTTTAAAAGATTGGCAGTTGTTTAGTAGAATGCTTCTCAATTTAAATTTGTCTGCTATTTCCTCATGATTAGAATCAGGCTTTTTTTTTTTTTTTTTTTTTTTTGCTTTTTTCTTTTTTGGCAGGAACTTATAACTTTTGACCTAATAAATTCCACTTTTCCACTTCTGGGAATCTATTATGAGGAAATAATAATAAACATGTTTTAAAAAATAATTTATATGGCTTTAAAGCAACACAGTGTTTTGTAATAATAAAATCCTAGCCTACATATTCTGAGATCATACGCGATATCCAACAGCACGCTCTGTCCTTTATGTGCATTATCTAACTTAATCTTTTCAGTAAAAGTAGTATGGCAGCCTCTGTTCACTGCTCACCCAACAACTATTCTCCCGTTTGTCGCTCTTCTGTTTTGGCAACTCAAGAGAATGAGTCAGTAGTTCTCAGCCAACCAGGATTGCCCACTCCTGTCTCCAGATGCTCTTTCCCAGCCTCCCTTGCACCTGAGGAGAAGTATCGGGCTCATTTCTGGCCAGTGGGTTCTAAAGGCAAGTTTTCCTGGAGGACTGCTGGGAAAGGCAGTGCCCACGTGGAGAAAGCCTTGGCCTATTCTTTTCTTCCTACTTGGGGTACTGGTGTGTGCTATGCCTGCTTGGGGTCATGGGACCATCTTGTAACCATGAGGTCATAAGAGCGACAACCAAAGGCCTACGTGCTAAGGAAGGCAGAGTGGAGGGATAGAAAGAACCAGAACACAGGATGGCATTGCTGAGTTGCTGACCTAGTCCTGGGCTGCCTTCCTCTGGTTTACTTGGATAATAAACTAAAAGATTAAGCCACTTTTATTTGGACTTTTAGTGACTTGCTGCAATAGATATTGCAGATAATGATAATAGCAGGAATCATTACAGTCACTATAAGAGTTTTACATAATTAACCTTTATAACAATGCTTTATCAGTGATGAATGTCAAATGCAGCCTGGAATAGAAGCCCATTGCCGAATCCCAACAAGCATGGACCAGAGCCCAACTTTTCCCTCCTCGGGGACAGCAGAAACTGGGGGGAGGAGAGAGTTCAACATATAGTGGATGCTTGGAAAATTCCCCAGGCATGGGAACAAGCCTAGGCATGGGGAACGGATTCTCTCTTTATGAAGAAGAAAGTAGACTGACTGGGGACATGGATGAATAGAGAGGCCTGAGGGAGGTTAGGGAGAGAGCTGGGAGTCAGGAATGAGGCCATGACCATGTCCACGTGGGCATTTCAGTGAGAGCAGACTAGCGGACCAGCACCTGACTCTCTCCTCCATAAACCCTCCCTCTCTCTCTGAGACATGACTTTGGGACAGTTGCCTGAATCCTCCTGTAAAGAACTTTGTATTTCTTCGTGAGCGTCCAGTGTGTGTGCTCAGGTTGAGGAAGATGAGGATGGCAGTGTCAGATTTAGGAGGCATAATTCCACTCTGTGCCTATACTCCACTGGACCAATGCTTATCATGGACTGCCAGGTGGCAAGAGGTAGACCTCAAAAGATAATGACCTCCCTGGCCAGTGTGGCTCGGTTGGGGCATCATCCGGTGCACTGAAGTATTGTAAGTTCGATTCCCAGTTGGGGGACACACCCAGGGTATGAGTTCAATCCCTGGTCAGGGTACGTGCAGGAGGCAACCAATCGATGTTTTGCTCTCACATTGATTTCAGTCTCTCTCCCTTTCTCTCTCTCAAATCAATTTAAAAATTAAAAAAAGAAAAAGAAAAAAAAAAGACCAATGATTGAGACAAGCTCTCACTGTTTGGTGATTTTCATAGCCTGTGGGGTGAAGTCTCAATTCCTTGATACTCAGGCCCTGCCCACTTCCAAAGCTTCATTTCTTGCCACCTGACTCTGTGCCCCTGCGCTCCCATCTCCCTTTTAATTCCCGTGATAGGCAGTGGTGTCCCCAGGCTTCCTGCCATTGCATACAGTGCTCTCTGCCTGGGACACCCTGAACAAAGCCCAGTGCCTACTTGTTCCCACGCCATTGCGACGGCAAAGCCATTCTTCCTCAGCGTCAGCCTTTCTGCCAACACCCTCTCCACAAGAATAAATAATAAATCACTTCCTCTCGGTGCTTCCTCAGCTCGCAGAAGCTGCGCGACGAGACCTGCACGGCCGCGCAGAGCTCCAGCCTCTTTCATATTTCACGATGTGTGTCTCACTGCGAAACGGTGAGTTCTAGGAAGTTGGGACAAACGTTGTTGTTTGCCACTGGTATCACTTAGTACAGAAGCCTGGCTAACAGTAAATGTTTGGGGAATAAATGGAAGGCACATAAATGATGAGAGAATTAATTTATTCATGACTCACTTCGAGGTCCTTCTAGTTATAAAATCCTATGGTATTTCCATTCAATACGAAATAGCATTGTACATTAGAGTATGACCTAAATCCTAAAGTTAAAAGACTAATATATATAGTAAAATGTACATATAAAAATGTATAATGTGTGCATATATATGCATATATGTATATATCACCGTGGTAATTTTAAGGGTAAGTTTCTTAATCTTTTTTCTTTTCATATTTACAGATTTCCTACAATAATATGAAGCATGAAGCAGAGAACATTAGAAACTCCAACTTCTAACATCCAAGCCGTGGCCAGCTTGAAATACCAGCACGCAAAACTTTATCTGTCCTCAGTTATAAAACAACAATAAAGATATCTATTTGCTGGTGCTGGATTCATTTCTCAGTGCAAGAGATAAGTACAAAGCAAAGGGAAGGTATTCATAGACCAGCATGACTAAATACTCGAGAGAAAAAAATAGATTCCCTCTTCCCCCTGAAAGACACATGAAACTGGGCCTCTCAGTCACGTTCACTTGTACTGAGCGTCTGCTATGTTCAAAACTGGATCAGTGAGTTATTCATTCATTTATTCAACAAGGACTTACTGAACACCTACAATGGGATAGGCATTTTTCGAGACAATAGATATAGAACGATGAATAAATAAGACAAAAAAGATCCCTGCACTCATGGAACTTATATTATAGAAGCATGAGAGGACCCAAACAGACAAGTAAATAAAATACATAGTATGGCAGAGAGTGATCATTGCTTTGGGAAAAAACTAAGTTGAAAAAGGAGTTAGGAAGCATCTTGGACTCAGGAAGAGGGTATTGTAGGATTAAATGGATGGTCACCGAAGGTGACATTTGAACAAAATCTGACCGAGGTCCTGAATGGCTTGGGATAAGAAAGATGTGCATATGGTCTTACTTTTCTCTGTGGTCCTATGGACTTTGCATTCCACTAGACTGTGTTGATCGGTGACCACCTACACTTTTCAGCTAATTAAAGGGTGCTGTCAGACTGAAAGAGACACTCTTTGAGGCAGAGGTGGAATTTAACAACTTGAATCAAACTCTGAAGGATGGGGAGAGACATCCCTTGAAGGGTGACATAAGCAGAGGAGGCCCCTGGTAAAGAAAACAGTTTTTCTCTAAGGGCAAGTGGGAGACTATCCCTACCTCACCAGGGGGTACTGGACAGAGCTAGTAATGGGAAATGGAGAAGCCACTATAAGCCAGTTGGGGAAGGTCACACTTGGTGGTAGAGACTATAGAAAGCCACTAAAGTTAATTGAGCAGGGAAGAAACATGAAAAAAGTATTTTAGTAAAATTAATACAGTGATCGCCTGGCTGGGCGTGGCTAAGAGGTTGAGTATCGACCTAGGATGCAGGCAATCGGGGTTCGATTCCCAGTCAGGGTACATGCCTGGGTTGCAGGCTCGATCCCCAGTCAGGGGCGTGCAGGAGGCAGCCCATCAATGACTCTTTCATCACTGATGTTTCTGTCTCTCTTCCTTTCCTTTCCTCTCTCTGAAATCAATAAAGATATATTTTTTAAAATTTTAAAAAATACAGTGGTAGAGTCAGGTTCGATCAAAATAAGAAAATACAGGCAAGGAGGCCATTTTATATCTTATTTCTGTTATCCAGATACTAATTTATAAGGGCCCAACTAGAATGGAAGCAGTAAGAACAGTGATATTTATAAAGAAGTGATGTTTATATGTACAAAGAATAAATGATAGGCCTTGGTAGATGATTAGATCTGCAGGGGAAAGAAGACGAAGACAGAGCTGACACATTCATAAAGTTCAGAGAGGCAAGTGGATGGTGTCCTTCTAGGGCCAAGTACTCTGTGATCCAAACTGAGTGTGACTCGCTCAGGACCACACAGCCGTGAAAAGCTGAAGCCAGAACTCAGGTTTCCTGCTTTCCCTCACTAGATGACTCCAAAATTTTAAACCTGGCAAACAGGGAAATAGCCCCACCAACAGAAATGGGTGAGTATGGACGAATAGCAAGCTTACAGTTGGGTAGAGGAGATGAAGAATTTTAGCTTTATATTTGTGGAATTTAAATAATGTATTCAAGTGAAACTACCAGGAAGATAGGCAAAACTTCAGGATTGGAAACGACTCTGTCCCTGAACAGTTTGTGACCTTGGTCAAATCACTTAACCTCTCTGATCCTCAGTTTTCCCAGTTGCAAAGTAGGGATCATGTTAGTTACTTAATGTTTGTAAAGAGCTTGGAACAGAACAGGCCCTGGTACAAGGTAAGTGTTATTTGTTTGTTAAATAAAATAGGTAAGATGCAAGCCACATTTTAAAGGAGGGGGAAAACAAGTGAAATTAATTTTAATATTTTATTTACCTAATATATGAAAAGTGCCATTTTAACATGTAACCAACATAAAAATCATTAACTAGCTATCTTGCATTAATTTTTCAACACTTTGAAATTCGGTGTATATTTTGCACATACAACGCATCTCCATTCAGACTAACCACCACTCTGGTCAGTAACCACATGTGGCTAGTGGTTTCCACATTGAACAGCAGCGCAGCTTCGAACCAAAAATATCTTGGGGCAGTGTTCTGTCGAAGGGCAAGCTGGCAAAGAGAGGCATTCCGGAGAGACTGCTTTAGCACAGCAAACCTTGGCGCAAACCAGTCACTTGAAATAAGCAGGGACTTTCACACCTTGGTGAGCGAGCGTTGCCATGGACTTTCTGATTTTTCTGGAGTTTGGGGCTGGGCCTCTTGGTAGGCTTCTCGGTCGGAGGCTCGCTCTAGAATCACAGGAAGACCGCGCACTGTTTCCCAGAGAAAAGCGGTTCACCCCAGGTTGTGTGTAATATCTAATGTTTATTCCTTGGAGGGATGATTATTATCTGTTTCAGGCGCCCCAGGAAGCACGATGGGCATACCGTTTACAAAAGTTGATTTGTACTCGGAAGCGTCCACTGAGTCCTTTCGCTGTTGTTTTTGTTTGTCTCAAACCCGCATTCCCCAGGCCCGGGGCGACCTCAAGGAGGCCCAGCGGAGAACTCCCGGGCGGGTTTCCAGACCCGGCCAAGTCCCCGGGCGGAGGGCGCGGGGCGCCCGCTCGTGCCCACGGGCCCCG